GCTTTGTATCTCTGTATCTGTATCTGTATCTTTGGCTGTGTCTGCTTTTGTACCTTTTGCTGGGACTGGGCAAAGTGGTGGCTCCGCTGCCATTTCAACCCAAAAAAAAAAAGAGATACAACAACATTAAAAACCGACACAAAACCAGAATAAAGCGTTGCCCCTTTTATTTTCCGAGTTTCTTCCTTGTTTTGGGTCTCTTGAAAAGGCGAAAAATATACGCCGAAAAATTTGTTGTTGAATCTCTCTGACGCCCTTGTCACTACATTTTTGGTCATTGGCCTCTCACGTACGCACCCATACAGCTGCAAAGGCGGCACACACAGATACAGATACAGATACAGGGCCATATAGAGCCATTTGGGACTTGGTAACAACAAGCGGCGGCGGCGGCGTCAGCTCGTAAACCAAGGAACGCAATGGAATCAAGCAAAAGCAAAACAATGCCCAGACCTTAACCTCCCTTCGCCACACACACACACCAACACACACCCTCTGGGAGCACCCCAAGTTTCCCCCTGGATTTCTCCTTCAAAGTCTCCAGGTTCGTCCCCCCGCAATCCCCATAGAGCAGAGGAGCAACCGCCAAGTTCCAGGCGCTTGTCGTTATCGTGCGTTTGGTTTCACCAACAACAACAACAATTACACCAACAGCAACAACAACAAGCCACCCGCTACTCACACTCATACTCACATGAGCAGAGTGAACACCCAACCAGGAAGAAGAAACCAAGCCACTAACGTCATGATTTAGATTCAAAAACGAACTGTAAATACCCTATTTCAAAAATATATAAATTATTAAAGATATATCATCAAAGAAATAAAATATTACTCAAAGAAAATCATCAATTAATTAATACTTAATCATGTAGGATACTTGAATAATTGATTACAAATAAAATATATATTATAAATATATATAAATATATAAATTATATAAATATTATATAAAAAACTTCCTCTATTTTATTTTTTCAGTATCATTTCCATTACATAGTTATTGTATCTAGAACTATTTCAAGGCAAAATACATATAGATATAGAGAGTATCTATAGATACATATATAGGTAGTACACCTAAGGACTGTTAAAACTTCCGAAAATTCTTATCAAAGGTATCGAAATGTATTGAAATATATATATATATCGAAATTTTGTTAAAATAATCGATTATTTCGATACCAAGCATTATACAAAAATGTTCAATATATCATTCCAATAATCGAATATTTTTAAATAATATCTAGAAGCGTATTAATTTTAATAAACTTTACTCAAATTTACATTTACAAATCAAATAACCATATAACAAGTAAAGAAATTGGCTGAGAGAGAAAGCCGGAAGGGTATCCCAAAAGCAAAGTGCTTCATATTTATTAATTTTTTTTGTGGCATCGAAATCATAGTCATTTCATCGACATTTCAGCATCAGCGATTGTTTATCAATGTGTAAATAAGCGCTACGTGCGTGTGTGTGTGTGTGTGTGTGTGAGTGCGTTCCCAAAAATTTCAATAGCAAAGTTCAATGAACTCGCTCGCGTGTGGGAGAAAGGGAGAGAAAGAGGGGAAGGCAAAAGAAGAGAGAGCGCGCGCTCGTACGTTTTGTTGTTTTTGTTTTTTTTGCTTCTTTCTTTTTCGTTCGACTCTCTTAGCTGCGGCTCACTCTCTCACCCTCCACACTCTCTTTCTCTTTCTCCCAAGCTGTTGTTGTTGTTTTTGGTTGAATTTTCGCGCGCTTCCTCGTTGCGTTTCATTCATAAACAGAGAGCGGCGAACTCGGAACTCGAAATTCGAAATTGGAAGCTCGAAACTCGAACTCCAACTCTGCTGGAGTTACATATCTCGGCCAGGCCAACGAACTGGGCTTTGTTCTTGCCACCCAAAAAATAACAAAAAATATATACACATACACCACCCACCAAACAAACACCCCTTTAAACCCTTAAACTTAACCCAGTCTATAATACACACACACACTCACATAGATACACGTACAAGCCCCATAATCGGCCAATTATAATGCCATCATTTTGAGGCCCAAAAAGTGTTGAGCGATTTTTGTGCAAAAATTCCTTTAACCATTTATGCGCTTAAATAATTGAACAAACTTTGGCCTAACTGAACAAAGTTTCCCACAATTAATTAATAAATAACTAACTTAAATGGGTATTAAAGAATATCAAAGGAAAATAGGCAGTTAAAGTGGGCCAGAGTTTGTGAAAGTTTTTGGCAATTTCCATTTAATATTATTTATTAAAACTTAAACTAATACTTTAGTTTGTTAATTGATTTTTAAATTTGTTTTATGACCTTTGGGAACCCTTTTTAATAATACAAAATTATTATTTATTATTGCCACTGCAGGGTATTATGATTTCAGTCAGAAGCTTAAAACTAAGTGAAGGAGTCATTTCCGACCTATAAATTATATATATTCTTGATCAGCATGAACAGGCGAGTCGATCTAGCCATCTTAGAGGGAAAAAGATTTTTAACATTTTTTTCTACATTTTATAAGGGGTAACATCGTTAAAATTGTTTAAAAATTGATAAAATAATAAATCTGCATACTCAATTAAAATTTTTATTTTTTTTAATTTTTTATACATTTTTTGACAATTTTAACGATGGGACCCCTTATAAAATTTTGAAAAAATTAAAAAAAAAAATTTTCGAATGGAGATAGCTAGATCGATTCGGCTGATCGTGCTGATCAAGAATATATATACTTTATAGGGTCGAAAATAACTCCTTCACTGAGTTTTAAGCTTCTAACTTACATTGTAATAGCCTCCAGGGGTATATAATTTAAAATAAATTTAATTCAATAATTTATTTATAAAAACAATCATTTTAAAAATTCCATTTCGTAATCTTCTTTAAATATCATCGATGTAATTGTATATTTTATTAAAAATTTAATGTAATAATCGATTATTACGATATTAAATATGAGAATATATTGTAACAACCTCCTTTAAAATTATCGATTTAATTTTTTACCATATCAATTAATGAAAAGTATGTATATAAAAGTCATGGGGATATATCTCAGGGGCTATATCCTTGCCAGAGAGGGGGGGAGAGGTGCTTGGGTACTCACTTCAATTGGTCCCGTTGCAGCGGTGGCATCTTTGTGGCATTCGGCTGGCGCTCATTTAGTGCGGCCAGCGTTTGCGAATACCGATGGGAGCGATCGATAACCGATAGTCAATATCGATACCGATGACGATGGCTGCTGCTGCGGTGAAGATGGGGCTGGGGCGATATCCATGCTCTGCCAGCAAATGCACTGCACCTTTTCCCTTTTTTGTTTTCTAAGAAATTCCCTTTGAAGTTAATTTTTTTTTTCTGTGGTTTGTTTGGGATTCACTTTTTCATATCTTTTTTGTATTTTTGATTTTTATTTTTGTTGTTAAGGACACTCACACAAATGCACAAGCTCTGCTTATATTATTTTTCTTTTGTATATTTTGTGGGCTTTTTATTTGAGGGCTTTGAAAAGCCTTTGATTGAGCACGGTTTCTTTTTTTTGTTCACATTAATGTAAAATTTGCCGGTTGTTTTTTTTTTAGTTGATTCAAGACTTAACAGCTGTTGATTTGCTTTTCCTCATTTTCCGGCTTTTTTAGTTAGATTTTCCTTCATTTTTTTCTTTGTTAAGGGAGGATGAGGGGAAAACGTCAGCTGCAACACACAAATGCACGTAAAAAATAGTATTAAAAAAATTTATTATATAAAGTGAGGCCAAAATGTCAAATGCTTTTTGAGAAAAATTTGGAAAAAATGTAATTATATTTATTATAATAATTTTTCTTTTTTAAAATCCACCAACACACACACAGAGTCACACGCACACAGAGTCACACGAAAACAAAAACAACTCGCACAGAGAATTTATTTCGAAACTCCAATCTCTGGTTAATAACAATTAATTAATTAATTAGCTATTTAAGCTTAATTTTTGTTGCATCTTCCTCTTGCACTTGTCATTTTGGCACACACACACACACACACACACACGCAATGCACTTGAGCGAGAGAGCGAGCGGGAGGGAGTAAGAGAGAGAGCGAGAGCGGGGGCGATGGTTTTTCCCTTTTTCCACTGAATTTCCACTTTATTTATCCAATCTTTGTGGGAACAACACACACACACACAACTCTTTGCTGGCCGCCAAAGAATAAAAAACGTTAAAAAAATAGCAAGGTGTTTTAATTAATTTTTTGTTTGTTTTTAAATAATTTTTTTGTTGTATCTTTTCCCCGGCAAGATGTTGGATTCTTTTAACTCACAACGGAAGTATCGTTTTGATATTCAAGCGCGCGACAAATTTTTAGAAAAAAAATTTTTCGAATGGCACGCTGCACTTGTATTTATAGGTTTCCGCAAAAGCCGAACCCGGCTCTCTCGGACGTCGGCTCTCACGACGCTAACTGAGTAAACGAGAGCGTAACAACGAAAGAGTACCAAAGCCAGGAAAGAGATTGTAATTTCTCTTTTTCTCTACAGAAATCCTCTTAAATTTGTTATCCAGGTGGCGCTATGAAAATAAGTTCAAATGAAAGACAAGTTTCTCACCTCTTATGACTGTTTTGGTTTAACTTGTATTTTTAAAGTTAATATTTAAATAAAATTATAACTTTAATTCATGTAGATTTAAGTCTTTTTAAAATGAAATTGTTTAAATGGGATCAACTTATAAGTTAACTCTTCCTACTAACAAAAGTATTATATATCTTGTCCAAAGTTAGCCACATTGTATATTAGAACTTTAACTGTTATAAATATATACAAGTGTTAAACATTTTAAGAAGTTTTACTAAGAAGGGGTTTTGTGATATAGGAAAAAATCAAGGGGTACACATTTTATTTAATTAGTATCTATTTTGTATTTAATTTGTAAGAAATTTAATGGAAATAAATTTATTTGCCAAGTTCTTCAGTGTGACCAGCTTGTCGCTATGGTTAAAATCCGCTCTTCTTCCCATCACTTTTGTCATTTCAAACGGAAAATCCGGCTAACACACTCAAGCCAAGAGAAATAGTTTTTTATATATATAAATATACGATTTTCCTGGGAAATCCCACTCTACTGCCGCCCTGCCGCCGGCAATGACCGTCTCCAATGCTGTGGACCAATTCACCATGCTGACCGGCGACCGTTCGAAGATCAAGGATTTGCTGTGCAGCCGGCTAACGGAGTGCGGCTGGCGGGACGAGGTGCGTCTGCTATGTCGAACGATTCTGATGGAGAAGGGATCCAACAATAGCTTCACCGTGGAACAGCTGGTATCGGAGGTGACACCCAAAGCCCGCACTCTGGTCCCCGATGCTGTCAAAAAGGAACTACTGATGAAAATTCGCACCATTCTGACGGAGAACGAGAACGAGGATGATGACGATGAGGTTGAGGAGCCAGAGGATGAGCCATAAACTAGCAAATACTGCATGCATGTTTCCTTTGGAATTCAGGACTTTTAAAGGAATATTTACAGTTTAATTACTCAAATTTATTTGTACGATTTTATACATAAATCCCGGCCAGGGAATGGATACACACACACGCACTCACTCTCTCTCTCTCTCGCGCTCAAGCACACACATATTCAGTCTGGTGTGGGGCATACGGAGCTGTTGCTGGCAAAGTCAAAGCCCTCGGGATCGGGTATCTCGATGAGAGTCTTGGGTACAATGGTCAATGGTGCACCCATGCCGGGTAGCATTTGGACACCACCTCCCGTCGTCGTCGTTGTCGTCGCCAGAGTCGTCTGTGGTGCTGACAACGGAGGAGGTAGCTGCTGTTGCTGCTGCTGCTGCTGTGACTGCTGCTGGGCTTGTGGCGGAGGCAGACTAGCCAGGGCTGAGGATGTGGTGGTGGTGGTATTAATGTTGCTGTTCGCAATGCTGCTGCTGGGCTGTGAGTACTTGCGCACCCACTCATTTGGATGCATCTTCTTCTTGTGGTTATGCATATTGGCATGCGATTTAAAGGTGCGCGTACAGAACTGGCACTGGTATAGATCGATGCCCGTATGGGTGGCCATGTGTTCCTGCAAAACAGAACAGATAAAGAGAGGAATATGCAACCAATAATCTTCAATCAATACTCACGGCCAGGGCTCGCGGCAGCTTAAACTCCTTGTCGCAAAGGCTGCACTTGTGCCGCTTGGCGGAGTGATGGTACCGCATGTGGCTGCTGAGTGCGGCACGGGATGACTTCTCTGCATTGCAGAGCAGGCATCGGTACTTAGTGTCGCCGTCGCGATCATCGTGGCGTGCAAGATGCTTGCGCAGGCTCCGCTCGTCCCGCAGCCAGCGGCCGCACAGGGTACACTGCACCTCCGCCACGGGCCCGTCCGGATGCAGAGCCTTCTTGTGTATCAGGAAATTGGCCTTCGAGCGGAAATGCGTTCCACAGATGTCACAAATGATGGGCGTAAAGTCAGCAGCATGCATACGCTTAACATGGGCGCTCAGTTCGAATTTGGTGCGGAATCTGTGGGGGATAAACCCGAAAGGGAAAACATATGGGATTAGCCATGGGTATGTTTGGACAGTAGCACTCACGTCTTGCCGCAATCCTCGCACACTTCGGGCCGCTCAGTGCCCTTGTGGCCCTTGAGATGCATGGTCAGCAGGAATTTCTTGGCGAAACGCGCCTCACAGATGGCACACTGATGGACCAGCTCCTGTTGCTGCGAATGGAAGCGCAGCATGTGCATCACCTGGCTATTCCGATTGAGGAAGTTCTTGCGGCAGCTCTGGCAGCTAAAGTACTGCGGATCCTTGTGGCAGTGCAGGTGGTCCACATACAGTGTCCGCTTCTTGTATCGATTGTTGCAACACTTGACGAAACCGGTGCAGTCATGCTCCACGCGGAAGTGGCGCTTGAGATCGTTAAAGTCCTCCAGCGGTGCGGCGCACAGGGCACAGTCCAGCTTCACATTGGCGGCTATATAGTCGTCCATTTCCTTGATGCTGCTACGCTTGACGGGCGGGTCTGAGGGATCGTTATCATCGTCGCCCGGTTCCTTTTTGATCTTCGGTCTACCACGTTTGCCGCCACTGGGTTTGGCCTTCTCGACACCTTCGACATCCGTCGGCATCATCTCCTTCTCCTCCTCCTCGTCCTCATCTTCATCCTCACCGTCGTCGGTATCGTTGGCATCAAGGCTGCCACCGGTGCTGGTGCGCTTCAATTCCCTCAGACGTGCCCGCGATTCGCGCAGTGACAGCTCGCTGGAAATCTTGGGCTTGGGCTGCTTCCGCTTCTCGTACTTCCGCTTGATGATCTGCTGTGTCTGCTGCAGCGGTGTCTTTCGCGGCCTGCCCCTGCGCCGTGGCTTCACCGGATCTGGCTTGGGCTCTAGTTCGCCCTCGGACTGATAGCCCGAAGGCTCAAAATCCGGTTCAAAGGTGTCGCCATAATCACTGTCCTTGTCGTCGCCAGCGGACATTGCATCGATGACCGGTTCACAGAGTATATGATCCTTAATATCGTCGCCATCGAAACCAAGCTTTGGCTCCATAGGCGTCTCCGTATTCCACACTACCATGGCAGGCTCCGGCTCCGGGTCGGCCAGCTCCGGCAGCTCGGGCATCTCCGTCTTCAGCTGCAGGGAGCGGTGCAGGGAGCGCTGCTTTTCCGCCACCATGGCGCAGAAGTGCTCGATGTCGCCCAACTGTTGCCAGCATCGGTTGCACAGGCTAGTGGACACCGCATCGTTGGCCGCCAACTATAAGGGATGCGGGAGGGGGACAGGAGGGAACGGGAGAGAACAGCGAATGAAAAGGGTTTCCTTTCTTTTCTTATGGGGGGGAAAAAAAAAACTCACCACCAGCTGCAGGTGCCGCTCGATCAGGAGAGCCGGTTGCATGGCCGCCGCCTCCTGCCCGAAAATGGGCACACCGTGCTCAGCATCCTCCAGACAGAGTCGGCATATCATCTCATAAAATGAAGACACAAATCGCGTTAAATGCAAACAGCGCAGCTGTTTTTGATTCGTTGCTGAGTTGTTGGCGCTGGCGTTGCCGGATCGTGCCCGAGGGCCGAAATGAAAATCAGAGATGCGCAAAAAAAAAACTAGCTAGAAAAAGACATTAGCTTGGTTTGGCCGATGAAAGGTTATTATTTTATTAACAAACATATTGACGGGGGGCTTAAAAAAGTGAATAAACATTTAGAATTTGGATATAAAGCCTTGGTTAAGCTCAATCTGAAGATCGATTACTGGAAACTACTTCTCCATTTCCGTTCCGTCGACTAAAATCTTATAATATCCAAAAAACTACTTCTATTATTCAGATTCGCCGGCTAATACCACAAATTGATTTGGATTGGGATCAGTCTTAACATCCATTGCCTGATTACTGACAGCAGGAAGCTTACGTCTTATTGGTTTCGGCATTGTTTTGGGTTTCGTATGGCAATCGGAGAAAAGCTGTTCATCAGACTCGGTTTTGTCCAGCTCTATCGAATTGCTTATCGATAATTTGTCATCGTCTGTTTCAGTCTCTTCGCCCAGTGCTTTCTCAATGGTATTGGCCAGATCTTCAGTTTTCGCTTGCTTTTGCTCCCTTTCCAGCTGCGTTTTAGCAAAATAGTCGTCGATTCTAGGCGGTCGTATCGGGATTGCAGGATTTTCGGGCAAGCCCCGTGTTAGCAGATAATCATCTACTACGCCCATAATATATCTTAAACAAGCACGCAGCATCCGGTCCAGAAAATCAACAACCCCAAGCGATGCATGGAAAAGGGCATGCTTGATGGTTACCTCGTTGTTGCTGAAGAAAGAATTCAGGAACTGGTCATAGATCACCTGACTGCCGGCACCAATCGTGGGCAGTAGCCAGCATACGAAGATCAGCTTCATCTCGTCCAAGAACGGAATACAAGTCCCAAGGCCAGTGGTGAAAAAATCAACCATAGCCCAGACACCGTAGACGATCCAATAGGTCAGCCAGATACTCATATTATCAGTGATTTCATTGTTCTCAAGGCGAAGCTGCTGGGCGTTCAGGAGCTTGTATGAAACAAAAGCCGGGTAGAAACATCCTGCCGTCAGTGAGACAAATCGCAAAACGTTTTCATAAATATTGCCAAACATGTTTATATATCTTTATATTTTTACTTAATTTGGAAAAATATTATTTTTGATTGGAATACGAAAAATTATTGTAGAGGACTGTCTACGTTAACTGCGTAAAAAGTTGTGACGAAAAGCTGTTATGAAAGTCTGACATTTGGTGAATTCGTTTTGACATATGGTTCATAACTGACTTGTTCCATATTTTAGTTTATACAAATTTAAATATTCCCTAGCTCATGAAATATATGGGTTGAATATAAATATTATTGATTTTATTCTTATTTTTATCAGAAGAAACCTTTGTTATAATTCGAAGTTTAAAAAAGTAAAGCACCGCGAAAATAGCTAGTCTGACCCACATCGATGTGGCAGCTCTGGCCACTAGAGGCAGTGGGAAATATATCGATATATCCATATTTTGCATCCCTAATTTTGAACCGAGACGCGAAGCAACATTTATTTACCAAAAAAGAACATTAAAGATGAGAAGAGTAAGCTCCGCCGCCTATTTGGCCGATGTTCCCGTTGTGGCCAACAAGTCCTGTGAAGACATCTCGGACATCGATCTAAATGATGTGCCCGCCCAGCTGGAAGCCACCTTGAACCACCGCAGGTCACGGAGTAGTCATGTCAGCCTGTTCAACATGGATGTGAACGAATGTAAGTGCAGTTGCTCAGTTTTATCAGAAATAATACTCATTTACATTCTCTTGCAGTCATGATAGACTCCACGATGGTGGACAAGGTGCAGCAGCATCAGGAGTGCGCCAAGGAGGAGGAGAAGAAGTGGTACACGCTGGTCTCGAAGGCTGTGAAATCCTCCAAGGAGCTCGCTACACGGCAGTATAGCTTTGAGCCCCGGGAGGAACAGCAGCGCTATCTCAAAGAGTGTCCCAATCTACAGAATTTCATACGCGGCTCCTTGCCGTTCATGAACAAAGTCACTAGATTTCTGGGGGAGCATCAAGAGTTGGTGGCTCTGCAGGATGAGCTGGCGGAACATGTCCAATTCCAGCTGAACAGCAAGGTCAACAATGCCATCAACGAGAATCTAGCCGGTAAGCGGCAAAGCTAGCAACTGCCCCGGCTGCAATAACTTTGATGTTTACATTTTAAACTTGGTTATTCTAACCAGCTGTTAATCATGCCATTTCTTTGTAAATTCGTTTTTCATTTACCCACAATTTAATAAAACTCTATTGTAAATATAAGGCCTTAAGCTGCACTACCTTATTTTCCGATGAATCAAAGGATTGGCTTAAACTTTCCTTCTCACTCTGACTTGAACACCAGGTCTTTGTTTAACTCTTGCTTTCTCTGTCACTCTCATGTGGAAGTTTTCAAAGAATCATAAATATTTATAAAGAAAACTGATATATATGTATGTATGAACTGAAATTAACAAAAGGTTTGGTTTACATTCTAGTCTACTTAGGCATTAGGTTTATATTTTAAACAGTGTGTTGTGTGAGCTGAGTTGGAGCTGCTATTCGCCTTATTCCTTGTTCCAGGCGGCCAGGTACTTCATGAGGTCGGTGAGACTCTCGAAGTCGGTGCGGCTGGCGGGCGGTTCATCCTTGGTGATACGCGGCAGTGCGTTGCCCATTTTTAGGCGAAACTCCTGAAACTATAGAAAACAAATATAAGGAAAGGAATGGGTAAACGTTGCGTCGCCTGCTCTCACATCTTTGGCCCCACTCAGCTTCCAGAAGCCGTAGCAGAAGGCACCAGTGCCCAGTACAGCATAAAGAGTGCCCCAGCCAAGGGCTCGCATGGCCAGCGTAGCGCCCTCGTCCATCAGGATGATGCCCTGGCGGGTGCCAGCCTGCTGTAGCACCTTGCTGTCGGCCTTCTTGGCAGTGGCCAAGGTGCGTGAGAATCCAAATAGGGCAGATACACCGCCCACTAGGCCCAGGAAAGCGGCGGCTGCAAGGAGAAGGAAGAAAGAGTTCGCTGTGTGAGGATTAAAGGTCTTATTTTCGCGAACGGAAACCACTTACCTTGTATGCGAAACTTGCGCTGCTTCTCGGCCGCCAGGGCATCCGCGTTGGGGCCGGCCTCGCTCATCCTTCCTTAATTCCCGTCCGGCTGCCCTTGTTTTTGACTTTACTTATTTTTATTGTCGTAATTCCCAAAAGCACAGCTGATCGACTGCAGAATAACACCGGCCGCGGATATCGATAGCCTTAAACAACCGATACTCCATAGTTGTGACTGTACAATCGCTGTTAGAAGTGTAAAAAACATCGATTCATCCACTTGTTTTGTGCTTTCAATATCGATAGTCGAAAAGCAATCGATAGGGCCTGTGATAGGTTAAAATATCGGTTCTATGTGATGGCACAATCGGTTCGAGGCCTTCTCTAGCTTGGTGACTGCGTTTTCACGAAAATCACGAATATTGCATGTTATGCTCACAATATCGATATTTGACAAGCAATCGATAGGGCCCGTGATTGCTAAGAACATCGGCTCTGTGCGATAGCACAATCGTTTCGAGGCCTTCTCTAGCGTGGTGTGCGCTTTGTCACGAAAAACCCGATCATTTATTGTGTGCTCTCAACATCGATAGTCGAAAAGCAATCGATAGGGCCTGTTATCGGTACAAACATCAGCTCTAGGCGATAGCACAATCGGTTCTAGGCCTTCTCTAGCGTGGTGTGCGCTTTGTCACGAAAAACGCGAATATTGTATTCTTGTGTGTTTTTTGCGCGAATCCGTTAAAGAATGCACATCGATCGCGTCGAAAACAAACAGTGATTGTTTACCGAACCGGCCTCCGCTCTTTTTCGTTATTTTCCGTTGCGCCGCGTGCTCGCTTACGTTTTCCCACTCGTATTTGCACCGCGACTTGCGGAGTAGGTGAAAAGTGTGACGACGCAGCAGCCGCAGCAGCCCACCAGCGAAACATCAAGCGGAAAGTTAGCTGGCGCGGTCGCTACCACTTAGTGGGGTCCAGCAGCCAGGATGAGCACCACAACAGACTCAAAGGCGCCGTTGCGCCAGGTGAAGCGTGTACAGTTCGGCATTTTGTCACCTGATGAAATTGTGAGTGCAGCAGTAGCATTTAGCAGCAGCAACAGTTCCCCCATTCCCATGCCCTTCCGTCTGCGACGCCATATTGAAAAAAATAGTACCGAAAATTCGTGGAAATTCGCAATCGCAAGCGTAATGCATATGCAAAATAAACAAAGGATTAAATTATGCCAAAATATGCATTAACTTATCCAGTTTTAGGTAGCATTAAGAGTGTCCTGAGTCTGAATCTAACCCTTAATTCGAAGGAGTGCGATCCGAGGCAGGTTTCTCGTAATGTGAGAGGATCCAGTAAATATATGTAAATGTAAATGCTAGGTTTTGCTGGGAAACTGTCTTAAAACATACAAAATAACCTAAATAATTTAAAAAGCATTGACTAGGCCATGAATATCTTGAATATATTAATGTTTAACCCAGTATAGATCTAAATAATATAGTAAAACATATAGAAACCAACTGATAACATTCTAAAATACGTCCTAAATTTAATTATATAATATTTAATAACTCCGTCTGGCATGACTCATACAGCAAGGAAGGAATATGTCTAGATCTAGGGTTTTTATTACCAATTTTTCCGATTTCTTCACTGCACCGGAAAGGTATCAATAGCTTTTCCTGGGAACAAACCCAAACACAATGCCTTTAAAGGTTCTTTTCTGTGAAAATTGTAAGCAAAGCTTACTCCACTGCGACTCTCTATTTACAAAAGACTTTCTAGTTCTGTGGAAAGTATATTTTTCAAATAAACATTAGTCGAAGAAAATGCGAATTTGAGTACAGTTTAGCCTTTATGATTTATCATATGAACCATCTGTATATTTACTTTAATATCTATTAAAAATGCCCCATGAACTCCTTAATTCCCCCAAACATAACTGATCCTTGACCAACCCTAACTTTTAATTAACTTTTAACCCTGCTCTCCCTTTTGCAGCGCCGCATGTCCGTCACCGAGGGCGGCGTCCAGTTCGCCGAGACAATGGAGGGCGGACGACCCAAGTTGGGTGGCCTTATGGATCCGCGACAGGGTGTCATTGACAGAACATCAAGGTGCCAGACCTGTGCCGGCAACATGACCGAATGTCCGGGTCATTTTGGACACATTGATCTGGCCAAGCCGGTTTTCCACATTGGTTTCGTCACAAAAACCATCAAGATTCTGCGTTGCGTATGCTTTTATTGCTCCAAAATGCTGGTTTCCCCGCAGAATCCCAAAATCAAGGAGATCATGCTCAAGTCGAAGGGACAGCCTCGCAAGCGTTTGGCCTACGTCTACGATTTGTGCAAGGGCAAGACCATTTGCGAGGGTGGCGAGGACATGGACCTGACCAAGGACAACCAGCCGCCGGATCCAAACAAGAAGCCCGGTCACGGCGGTTGCGGTCACTATCAGCCGTCCATTAGGAGAACTGGATTGGATTTAACGGCAGAATGGAAACATGCCAACGAGGACTCGCAGGAAAAGAAGATTGTGGTGTCAGCGGAACGTGTGTGGGAGATCCTTAAGCACATCACCGATGAAGAATGCATCCTGCTGGGCATGGATCCCAAATTCGCTCGCCCCGATTGGATGATTGTCACCGTGTTGCCTGTACCGCCGCTAGCCGTCCGTCCGGCTGTCGTGATGTTCGGTGCGGCCAAGAATCAGGATGATTTGACTCACAAGCTATCCGATATTATCAAGGCCAACAATGAGCTGCGAAAGAACGAGGCCAGTGGAGCGGCTGCGCATGTTATTCAGGAGAACATCAAAATGCTGCAATTCCATGTGGCCACCCTGGTGGACAACGATATGCCCGGCATGCCCAGAGCCATGCAAAAGTCCGGCAAACCCCTGAAAGCCATCAAGGCTCGTCTCAAGGGTAAGGAGGGCAGGATTCGAGGAAATTTGATGGGCAAACGTGTCGACTTCTCGGCGCGTACTGTCATCACACCGGATCCCAATTTACGTATCGATCAGGTCGGTGTACCGCGCTCCATTGCCCAGAATCTGACGTTCCCCGAGTTGGTCACTCCCTTCAATATCGATCGGATGCAGGAGCTGGTGCGGAGGGTAACTCACAATATCCGGGCGCTAAATACATTGTCCGTGACAATGGCGAGCGCATTGATTTGCGTTTCCATCCCAAATCCTCGGACCTGCATCTCCAGTGCGGCTACAAAGTGGAACGGCATTTGCGTGACGACGATCTGGTCATCTTCAATCGTCAGCCCACACTCCACAAGATGAGTATGATGGGGCACAGAGTGAAGGTGCTGCCGTGGTCTACCTTCCGCATGAACCTCTCGTGTACATCGCCCTACAATGCTGATTTCGATGGTGACGAGATGAACCTCCATGTTCCCCAGTCGATGGAGACGCGTGCCGAGGTGGAGAACATCCATATAACACCCAGACAGATTATTACACCGCAGGCGAACAAACCCGTCATGGGTATTGTGCAGGACACACTGACAGCGGTCCGTAAGATGACCAAACGAGATGTCTTCATAACCCGAGAACAAATGATGAATCTTTTGATGTTCCTGCCCACGTGGGATGGCAAAATGCCGCAGCCATGCATCCTGAAGCCTCGCCCCCTGTGGACCGGCAAGCAGATCTTTTCATTGATTATACCCGGCAATGTGAACATGATTCGTACGCATTCTACGCATCCCGATGAGGAGGACGATGGTCCCTACAAATGGATATCACCCGGTGACACCAAAGTAATGGTGGAACACGGTGAACTGATTATGGGCATTCTCTGTAAGAAGACGCTGGGAACATCGGCCGGCTCGCTGTTGCATATCTGTTTCCTGGAATTGGGACACGAGATTGCCGGTCGATTCTATGGCAACATCCAGACGGTGATCAATAACTGGCTACTCCTGGAAGGCCATAGTATTGGTATTGGTGACACAATTGCCGATCCGCAGACATATAACGAGATCCAGATGGCCATTAAGAAGGCCAAAGATGATGTGATAAACGTTATCCAAAAGGCGCACAACATGGAACTGGAGCCAACGCCAGGCAACACGTTGCGTCAGACATTCGAGAACAAGGTGAATCGCATTCTGAACGATGCTCGTGACAAGACCGGTGGCTCCGCCAAGAAATCCCTTACCGAGTACAACAATCTAAAGGCCATGGTGGTGTCCGGTTCGAAGGGTTCCAACATCAACATCTCACAGGTTATCGCTTGTGTGGGCCAGCAGAACGTTGAGGGCAAGCGTATACCATACGGATTCCGTAAGCGCACCCTGCCGCATTTCATCAAGGATGATTATGGTCCCGAGTCGCGTGGCTTTGTGGAGAATTCCTATCTGGCCGGTTTGACACCCTCCGAGTTCTATTTCCACGCCATGGGTGGTCGTGAGGGTCTCATTGATACCGCCGTCAAGACAGCCGAAACTGGTTACATTCAGCGACGTCTCATCAAGGCTATGGAGTCGGTGATGGTGAACTATGATGGCACCGTGCGTAACTCTGTGGGTCAACTGATCCAGTTGCGTTATGGCGAGGATGGTCTCTGCGGTGAGTTGGTGGAGTTCCAGAATTTGCCAACCGTCAAACTATCCAACAAGGCATTCGAGAAGCGTTTCAAATTCGACTGGAGCAACGAGCGGTACATGCGGAAGGTGTTCAATGACGATGTAATCAAGGAGGTCACCGACAGCAGCGAGGCAATCCAGGAACTGGAGGCTGAGTGGGATCATCTGGTCTCCGATCGTGACAGTTTGCGACAAATCTTCCCTAATGGCGACTCCAAGGTGGTGCTGCCGTGTAATCTCCAGCGTATGATTTGGAACGTACAGAAGATCTTTCACATTAACAAACGCCTGCCCACGGATTTGTCGCCCATGCGGGTGATCAATGGCGTCAAAGGATTGCTGGAGAGATGCGTCATTGTGACGGGCAACGACCGCATATCGAAGCAGGCCAATGAGAATGCCACACTGCTGTTCCAGTGCCTTATCCGGTCCACACTCTGCACCAAGTACGTGTCGGAGGAGTTCCGTCTGTCAGCCGAGGCGTTCGAGTGGTTGATTGGAGAAATTGAGACGAGATTCCAACAGGCTCAAGCCAATCCCGGCGAGATGGTGGGCGCCTTGGCTGCCCAGAGTTTGGGTGAGCCTGCCACACAGATGACACTGAACACTTTCCATTTTGCTGGTGTGTCCTCGAAGAACGTAACCCTGGGTGTGCCGCGTCTCAAGGAGATTATCAATATCTCCAAGAAGCCCAAGGCCCCATCACTAACAGTTTTCCTCACTGGCGGTGCTGCCCGTGATGCGGAGAAGGCCAAGAATGTGCTGTGCCGGCTGGAGCATACAACGCTGCGCAAGGTGACGGCCAATACAGCAATTTACTACGATCCGGATCCACAGCGAACGGTGATATCCGAGGATCAGGAGTTTGTCAATGTTTACTACGAAATGCCTGACTTTGATCCCACGCGCATCTCACCCTGGCTACTCCGCATCGAGCTGGATCGCAAACGAATGACGGACAAGAAGCTGACCATGGAGCAGATTGCCGAGAAGATCAATGTGGGTTTCGGTGAGGATCTCAACTGCATCTTTAACGACGACAACGCTGACAAGCTGGTGCTGCGCATCAGGATTATGAACAATGAGGAGAACAAGTTCCAGGATGAGGACGAGGCCGTCGACAAGATGGAGGATGACATGTTCCTGCGTTGCATCGAAGCCAACATGCTGTCGGATATGACACTGCAGGGCATTGAGGCCATTGGCAAGGTGTATATGCATTTGCCGCAAACGGACAGCAAGAAGCGCATTGTTATCACAGAGACGGGAGAGTTTAAGGCCATCGGTGAATGGCTGCTTGAGACGGACGGCACATCGATGATGAAGGTGCTCTCCGAACGTGATGTTGACCCCATTCGTACCTCGTCCAACGACATCTGCGAGATCTTCCAGGTGCTGGGCATCGAGGCGGTGCGAAAGTCTGTCGAGAAGGAAATGAACGCTGTCCTGCAGTTCTATGGCCTGTACGTGAACTATCGTCACTTGGCCCTGTTGTGCGACGTGATGACCGCCAAGGGTCACTTGATGGCCATCACACGTCACGGTATCAATAGGCAGGATACTGGTGCTCTTATGCGTTGCTCCTTCGAGGAGACAGTGGATGTGCTTATGGATGCCGCCGCTCATGCTGAAACCGATCCAATGAGAGGTGTATCCGAGAACATTATCATGGGACAGTTGCCCAAAATGGGTACCGGCTGCTTCGATCTGCTGCTGGATGCTGAAAAGTGCCGTTTCGGCATTGAGATTCCCAATACACTGGGCAGCAGTATGCTGGGCGGTGCTGCCATGTTCATTGGCGGTGGCTCAACGCCGAGCATGACGCCTCCAATGACGCCGTGGGTTAACTGCAACACGCCGCGCTACTTTTCGCCGCCAGGCCATGGTGAGTACTTGTTTATAAATTGAAAACGTTTGTAATTAATACGCCTATTTGCCTCTCTTTTCTTTCTGCGTTTCCAGTGAGTGCCATGACACCGGGTGGACCCAGTTTCTCACCCTCGGCAGCTTCGGATGCATCTGGTATGTCGCCCAGTTGGTCACCAGCGCATCCAGGCTCATCGCCCAGCTCACCGGGACCCTCGATGTCACCATATTTCCCTACTTCGCCCAGTGTGTCGCCCTCGTATTCGCCCACAAGTCCCAACTACACGGCCTCTTCGCCGGGTGGAGCCTCACCGAACTACTCACCATCCAGTCCCAATTATTCACCGACATCGCCGCTATATGCATCTGCAAGTCCGCGTTATGCCTCAACGACACCGAATTTCAATCCCCAGTCTACGGGTTATTCGCCATCGTCATCTGGATATTCACCGACGTCACCGGTTTACTCGCCCACGTCGAATTTCCAGTCGAGTCCATCGTTTGCCGGCAGCGGAAGCAACATGTACTCACCAGGCAATGCCTATTCACCAAACTCTTCAAACTATTCACCTAATTCTCCATCTTATTCACCGACATCTCCATCGTACTCGCCCTCGAGTCCATCGTACTCACCGACTTCACCGTGCTATTCGCCCACATCGCCTTCGTACTCACCAACGAGTCCGAATTACACGCCAGTAACACCTTCCTACTCGCCAACGAGTCCAAACTATTCGGCATCTCCACATTATTCACCAGCCTCACCAGCCTACTCGCAAACGGGAGTGAAGTACTCGCCAACATCACCGACGTACTCACCGCCATCACCCTCGTACGATGGTTCACCAGGATCACCGCAATATACGCCCGGATCACCGCAGTACTCACCGGCCTCACCCAAATATTCACCGACGTCACCGCTCTACTCTCCGAGTTCGCCGCAACATTCACCGTCGAACCAGTACAGTCCAACTGGCTCCACATACTCGGCGACAAGTCCACGCTACTCGCCCAACATGTCCATATATTCACCCAGCAGCACCAAGTACTCGCCCACATCGCCGACGTACACGCCAACGGCCCGTAACTATTCGCCCACATCTCCGATGTACTCACCAACGGCGCCATCGCACTACAGTCCCACAAGTCCGGCGTACTCGCCCAGTAGTCCGACGTTCGAGGAAAGTGACGATTAAAGGAGTCAGCAAATTAGAACCAGGAGAATTAATATACTGAAGATATAGTAGTTGAATCCCCATAGTGGGTAAGTTGTGGTTAAGACATCCCTTTTATTGTTCGATCCTTTTAGGGGGGAAAACGGTTATTACTATTATATTAGTTTATAATTTCAAAAGTTGGACAATTACGTTTAGATTTCATTGATTGCACATTCTCCACACTTAAATTTATTGAATTCCGATTAAAAAACACAAATCGCAGATTAACCCAAGATCATTCAACATTTTATTTAATTTTTAACAAAAATTACCAGAGTTTCTTTCTTTGCATTGTTTGTATCGTGACCTATATATAGTTAGAGACCATAGTTGATAAGGTAAAAATGATAACAGAGAGTAATGAATGAACCGTGGGGTTGTTCCCCCCCCACTATAATAGGAATCGTCTTCTTAATATCACATATTACTATATATTTTTTTTTAAACAAAAAACAGCCTACACACAAGTTATGTCTGCTGCAGTCCCAGAAAGAAAGTTTTGTTGCCTGCATACTATATTGTATATAGGCATGCATATAATCTATATAACCATATATCTATATATACAAACATATATATATATTTTATGACCAAAACCGAAAACCCTTTTTTTGTAAATTAAGACCAATCAAATAAAACCCATATAGTTAAATAATAAATACAAAAATTCATAAACTATGATGCTAAATGTTTAATTCATTTATTTAAAGATCTTTGAAAATTTAATAAATTTTGATCTATTCTTTATTTAGATTGATTTCAGAAAGCATTTTTTAATCGTTGCATTTAGTGGGACAAAACGTAAAAATTTTGAGAGTAAAATTAAACGAAACTCCAATTTTGCTTTTACTCTTTAAGCGAGATGGGAAAAGATTGAGTCTCCTTTCCCCTCCTGTTTCTTTTTGTGAAAAGAGCGAACTCTCTTTTTGGTACATATGTATTATGTATAAAATTGTTAAATTTAACTCATGCAGGAATGGATGCTTTATAATCAAGCAACCTCGTATTTTGGAAAAGCTTACAGCTTCCTTAGTCTTTGTATTGATCATAATTATATCCACTCTCGATTCCATCCATGTTACGGTCTTCTTAAGCACTCTCTTCGTTCTCTTAATTCTTGTCTTTGAGGAAAGCTTACAGCTTTCTTAGTCTTTGTATTGATCATAATTATATCCATTCTTGATTCCATCCATGTTACGGTCTTCTTCAGCACTCTCTTCGTTCTCTTAATTCTTGTCTTTGAGCAAAGCTTACAGCTTCCTTAGTCTTCGTATTGATCATAATTATCTCCACGCTCGATTCCATCCATGTTACGGTCTTCTTCATCACTCTCTTCGTTCTCTTAATCTTCGTCTTTGAGCAAAGCTTACAGCTTCCTTAGTCTTCGTATCGATCATTATCATCTCCACGCTCGATTCCATCCATGTTACAGTCTTCTTCAGCACTCTCTTCGTTCTCTTAATCTCCGTCTTTGAGCAAAGCTTACAGCTTCCTTAGTCTTCGTATCGATCATTATTATCTACACGCTCGATTCCATCCATGTTACAGTCTTCTTCAGCACTCTCTTCGTTCTCTTAATCTCCGTCTTTGAGCAAAGCTTACAGCTTCCTTAGTCTTCGTATCGATCATTATCATCTCCACGCTCGATTCCATCCATGTTACAGTCTTCTTCAGCACTCTCTTCGTCCTCTTTTTCCTTGTATTTAATCTCCTTGATTTTCATATTCTGGCCATATTTATAAAACTTCTCCACTTGCTCCTCTTGATGACAATCCATGTGGCCAAACTGCTCATGATTGGGTTTTAGAAAGTGACGATAGTGATGATAGTTCAATGGATCTGGCATGGCCATTCTTTTCTTAACACTCATGTAGATAGTACGTCCGCGCAAATAGTGTTTCAGTGCCATATATGGTACACCCATGGGCAATTGGAATTGATAGCATTGATCCAATGAGGGATGAATGGCCTGGAATAAGACATTATTATCAACCAGAACAGCTGTATACCTGTATTTATCATCGGGCAGCTCCACCTGCAGCTCCAATGTGGCTAGGGTCTGATAGTATGTAGTCCGTGGTCGCTTCACATTCGGAGGGAGTTTGTGTTGCACCCTCGGGTCACGTGGCGGATTAACTTTGAAATCGGAAGATTTCGTATACTGCTTCTTAGGGGACTTCTTTGGCTTGCCATTGACATCAGGAGCTCCATTTTCCATATGGTCAAGTAGCTTGCTTGCAGCTAAGAGCATCTGGCTGTTATCCTGATCCGGCATTGTCTTGGCGTCCTCTATTTGCAGAGCGGCAATGTTATTGACGCATTGGACCAGCTGTTTGAGGCCTTCATTATTCTGTGATTGCTTATCTGCCTTTTTGGCCTCCTCCTGCTTCAGTTGCTGATCCTTGTCTTGCTCCCTCTTTTGCTCCTGCTCCTTACGCTGTCTGACATGTTTTAAACCCATTGGGAGCACGTCTTTGAATTTCATTCTGAAAACTGGTGCATTGGGGGAATTATTCTCCTTGGTGTTCTCCTTTTGCTCCTCGACTTTCACCTTTTGCTCCTCGTCTTTCACCTTCTGTTCCTCGACTTTCACCTGCTCCTCGACTTTCACCTTTTGCTCCTCGACTTTCACCTGCTCCTTGACTTTCACCTTCTGCTCCTCGACTTTCACCTTTTGCTCCTCGACTTTCACCTGCTCTTTAACTTTCACCCTCTGCTCCTCGACTTTCACCTGCTCCTCGACTTTCACCTTTTGCTCCTCGACTTTCACCTGCTCCTTGACTTTCACCTTCTGCTCCTCGACTTTCACCTGCTCCTTGACTTTCACCTTCTGATCCTCGACTTTCACCTTTTGCTCCTCGACTTTCACCTGCTCCTTGACTTTCACCTTCTGCTCTTCGACTTTCACCTGCTCCTTGACTTTCACCTTCTGATCCTCGACTTTTACCTTTTGCTCCTTGACTTTCACCTTTTGCTCCTCGACTTTCACCTGCTCCTTGACTTTCACCTTTTGCTCCTCGACTTTCACCTGCTCCTTGACTTTCACCTTCTGCTCCTCGACTTTCACCTGCTCCTTGCCTTTCACCTGCTCCTTGACTTTCACCTTCTGCTCCTCGGCTTTCACCTGCTCTTTGACTTTCACCTTCTGCTCCTCGTCTTTCACCTTCTGCTCCTTGACTTTCACCTTCTGCTCCTCGAATTTCACCTTCTGCTCCTTGACTTTCACCTTCTGATCCTCGACTTTCACCTTCTGCTCCTTGACTTTCATTTTCTGCTCCTTGACTTTCACCTTCTGCTCCTTGACTTTCACCTTCTGCTCCTTGACTTTCACTTTCTGCTCCTCGACTTTCACCTTCTGCTCCTCGACTTTCACCGTCTGCTCCTTGACTTTCACCTCCTGCTCCTTGAGTTTCACCTTCTGCTCCTCGACTTCCACCTTCTGCTCCTCGACTTCCACCTCCTGTTCCTCGACTTCCACCTCCTGCTCCTCGACTTCCATCTCCTGCTCCTCGACTTCCATCTCCTCCTGGTCGTTCTTCAGCTGATCTGCTTCTTGCATCTCTACTATAGTTTTTAGCACATCCTCGAAGAAGGCCAGTATCTTGTCCCTTGCCTGCTGACAACTCTTGCCCAAATTGTTCTCGATCAGGTACTTGCGCAGGCTGAAGTGGCGTATATGGATCTTAACGTTTTTGGCAAATGATACGGCCACCATATTGCGGACAAAGATGGTGTGTGCGGTGGCAAACTGCACGGTGGCCTGCAGAAAGCATTCACCGGGCAGGCCCATCAGCGTGTTCTCAATGCCTTGACGATCCTCCGACGCCCAGTCACGTTCTCCGGAATAGGGAACTATGCCAAATAATCGCAAATCAATTGCCATCGGGGGTTTCGCCTGCAACTCCTCCGGGCATTTGTACAAATGTCCGCATTTAACGCTATAGATTCGCGTATCCTCATCCATGGCCTGGACCAATACCTTAAGATTGTGATCCGCATTGTTTACACTCTTAATGTGTGTCACCCTGAGCACCCGAACACGAGCTTTTTTGCCATCAATGAGACACAGGCAGATGGTACCAACAACCGGGGGCCAGTAGCGTTCATTGATGTTGCCCTGCATTAGCTGACGGCGCATATCTTCCACCGGCAGCGAGGGGAATGCTATCCAGGATTTACCAGGCGGCAGGTGCTCCAAAATATGCACGCAAAAGTGTGTCGGCGTATATAGACGCACCAGGAGAATCTTCACATCGCCCGAGGTCGGCACTGAGGGAATTGGTTGATCCATATAGTCAGCATAGTGACGCTCCTCACACGAGCTATTGATGCAATCGCCTAGCATCATTATCTGGCGACACACAATGCTCTGGTCGGCGGTGAGCCTGGCCAACTGCAGGCGGATTTGCTTGGCCACGGCTACGATGTCGTCATCCACGTGCTGAAACCTCTGTGCAAAGTCCACGAGGCGTGGCAGCTGCTTCTGGTTGGTCTCATCCAGCAAGACCAAGGAATTCAGCTGTATGGGATTCCGACGACGGGAGAAGTCGCTATGCAGTTTGTTGTTCAGATTATCGGATATGGCCAGGTGACGCATCTTGAATTTACTCCAGCTGTTGCTCATGCTGTAGTGGATCAGTGTGTGGGCACTACGGATCTTTAGCTCCGGGCAATTGTCGGTGATCAACAAGATGATGCCATGTGTGTGAGACTGCCACTGATGAAACTGCTCGCGCACCCCGAGGTTTGCGTCCTGGTAGTATGGCAGACATCTGTAGGAGTGCTTCTCCTCGAGAGCCTTTACCAGAAGCCGCATTTCCCCATCGTCACTGCAGAAGATCACCGTGCGGTGGTACTTGGGCGAACGCACCTGAAGCATCTTTCGCACCTCGTTGATCTTGTCCTGGGCGGGAACGAGAACGATCCGTAGGTGCGTTTCCCCGTATAGAGCTGCCTCCAGAATGTCGCCGAATATAAGTGCCGGATTGCTGTTCAACAGCTTCAGCTTGGCCATCAGGGCGGGATCGTACGACTGCGAGACTATCATCAGCTGCGGATGGCAAAGAATTCTGGACGATATCTTCTTTAGCACCTTATCCGCCCTCGCTAACATTTCCGGGTCCATTAGATCGATGTCGTCGTAGACAATGACCTTTATGTTTTCGAACTGCATAATATCATCTATATTCTCCAGAACGAAGACCAGCTGGGAGGGCGTGGCCACCAGGCAGCCAACGCCATGGATAAGGCGATGATAGAACCCCGGCGGTTTGGTCGTTGGAACGTTCAAGACGGGCGTATAGATCCGGTCCTGGTTAAGTATTCGTAGAAATTCGTGGCAGTGGCCGGTGACATGACGCACGCGGTCCAAATCTGGTACCAGAATCACTATCAGTGGTCCACCCACATCCGCTTTGTGGGCCTCCTTAATCACACGGAATGCTATATCGCAGACGGGCGGAATATAGCTGAAGGTGCGACCACTGCGGGGACCGGCCACAACCATGGCACCGTGGCCACGATCAATGATCAGATGGCGCCATGTGTGGCTCTGAACGCGCAGCATCCGATCCAGTCTCAGTTTTCTCATCACCTGCAGGGTGTGCGGCAGAAACGACACCTCGGACAGCTGGCGCACCGGGCGCAAGATAGTGTTTGAATGGGCGACCACAAAATCGGTGCAATTGGTGGCCGACAGCGGATGGATGTCCGTCATGTCGATTGAGTCATCATACTTGTAATCCGTTTTCGGTTCGTTGTTCTTATGAAAAGCCATATTTTCCTTATTTTTTTACTCGCTCGATTCTATTTGATGCGATCAGTTCGACAGGAAGACAACTTCTGAAAATGCTGGAACTTGTTAAACTGATTGTCAAACTGTAAATTCCAGCTGTCCTGATTTATCGGTAATCGAAATCGCCGCCTTAACAGAGCTTCCCTTACACGCAAACATACATACATACATACATGTATGTACCAAATACATAAAAATAATGTTTTATTTAAGGATTTGAAAGCCAATGCGGCCACTCCTGGATCTCATTATACAGCGTCAGACCTGGACTCTGGGTACTAATCACCTGAGAGGCTGCAATCAGAGCGTAATCCTCGCTCAGCTCTCCCTGGCGAACGCCGCAGCGCAGTAGGCTTTTGGCCGATTGCAGCGCAGCTGCCGTTGGAAGTTTGTCTATCGAAAATAATGGAAAGTTGTGTGTGTGTATCAATTAAAGGTATTAACGTTTATTTTAAACTAAAACTTACCAACGTAATTGCCAATAAACGCTATGCCCGTGCCGTTTGCATTGTAGCCATAGGTGTGGGCTCCACGCAGACCCCAGCCCGTGCCCTCGTAAACGATGCCATCATTGCCAATTAGGAAGCTGCCCCGAAAGTCACAAATAGAGTAAATATTTCCAATAATTCGCTTCAATCTTACTTGTAACTGATATCTTCATAATCCAGCTCCGTTTGATGATAGTTCTGCATATTCTGCAAGATCTCGGCACACTGGAGGAGCCCACTGCACTCGCCCGTGACCGTGTGATGGATGACCACATAGCGAATGGGACGGATCTGGTAGTGGAGGCCCTGTGATGGCTTACCGCCCCACTGACGCTTCAGTTTGATCACCGGGCAGTCATCCGTCGATGTTGGGCGGTGCCGCGATGCCTTGCCCGCGGCCACTGAAACCGCTGTAACCATCACGAGGAGGCAAACCGCAGCCAGAAGCTGGGCAGGCCAGCGAGAAGCGGAAAACATGATGCGCAGAGATCTGGTGCCAGCGGGGAACTGCTCTCCACTTGGCTTATCAGACGCGGATTTATTATTGCCAGCGTGTGCGCCAAGCTTTCGCGAGCTTGCAGAGGGAAGTCCCGGGATTCCAGGCAGCTGGCGGAGAGGAGATCTTACGATCCGATCGGTGTTCTTTGTGTGGTTCTTTTTGTTTTTATTTTTTGCCAAGCCCCAAACAATAGAAAACAGGTTGTAAGCCAAAGATCTGCGTCGGCATTTCCGACTTCAAGCTAATTAGTGACGAATGCGAGTTATTCTTCGAACATATAAAGGCTATGTGACGTTCCCATGTAGATCACATTAAATATGTAATATATACAAATATAAATGCCATTAATAATCTTTATATATGTTAATAAAGCTAGCTGATAAGCGTTTACAGTGGAATCAGTATCAAATTTTGAAGAAATTTATATGTAATTAATTTCATGTTTTAAAGAAGGTATTTTATAGATTTCACACTGAAAAAGAGTTATTTAGGGCAATTAATTAATATTTTTTGAATCTTTCACAAGCTTAAAAGACCCTCCAAATTACCATTTAACCACCACATAAAAAATTAGTGTATTTTTTTAATTTAAAGTCATGAGTGGTTACAATTTATTTATGATCGAATTGTTTGGTGCCTAACCTTAAAGCTAATTTTTTGTCTTTGTTAATTCTAATTTACAGAATGCATTTTGGGTTACATAATTAGGAATCACAATATTTTTTTTCAGACTTTCTTCGAGGTTATGTCGCAGACACACACCTCTTCGCACTAATACATACACCGAGATTGAGGTTAGGATTTAATTGGTCTCTAAACTAAAACATACAACACTGAATAAAATCGCAAAGCATCAACACCATCCTCCGGCTCCAGTCTCCTTACTTGACCAGCTTGGCCATCATGGTGGTCAGCTTGTCCTCGTCGGAGCCGCTGAATGACGCCAGTCGCCGGTTGTTCTTGAGGAACACAAAGGTCGGCATGCTGCGGACCTTGTAGCGCTCCGTCAGCTCATCATACTTATCCACGTCGACTTTGAGAACCACCGCCTTGGAGGCGTACTTCTTCGCCAATGCCTTGACCGTGGGATCCATCATCTTGCAGGGACCACACCAGGTGGCATAGAAGTCCAGCACGATCAGCTTGTTGTCGGCGGCCTCCACGCGCTTGTAGTAGTCGTTCATGCTGCGTACGGTGGCCATGGTTTCGGGGATGACTTGGAACAACGGATGTTGATTAATTTCACGGAGTTTGCGGGAGTTGCTTCTGCTTCTGCACGGGGAACTGGCGGTGGTGGGGCTTATATACCCCCCGCATTGGTGGATCCTGGAATTCCCGCCAACTTCTAGCATTTCTCGCCCCTCTCTTGCGCTCTCTCTGTATCTTCATTTATCTATTTCTCCCCTTCGGCAAACACAAATTGAAAATGGCCGCCAAAGCTTTAGAGGCAAAATGTCCGCCGTAGCAGTGTGGCCGGACAAAGGATGGTTCTTTGACAACTGAGGGTCACACTGCTTGGAAGCCCGGCAAAATTTGAATTAACATAGTGTGCTGTGAAAATTCTTTTTGGTATCAAGTTAGCGTTTAAATTGTTAATGTCAAATTCGTTTTGGTCTTATTCCACCTCCAGGCTTTCTTTCCAACTTTTCTCCTCAACCGATATAATTTTTTCCTAGAAATTTTCTGTACTTCCGCAAAATATTGGGGTTTCTTAACCTCGAGTGCGTGTAATAATTCTGGTAGCCTGCCTTGCGCAACGAATTCGTCTCCATCACGGTGTAAGCTCGGTTTAAAGATGTAAAAAACTAAATATAAAACCTAAATTCGTTGTTTTTTTTAAGGTAAGAAGAACAATGGTGTCCGTGGTCAAAGATAAGGCCGAGCTCGACATGCGCATTTCCAGCGCCGTCAAGAAAATTGTCATCTTGGACTTCTTTGCCAACTGGTGTGGACCGTGCAAGGTCTGTGCTCCCAAGCTAAACGTTTTGGCCGATCAATACTCCGAACACGTAATGATCTTGAAAGTAAATGTCGATGAAAATGAAGATATCGCCGAGGACTTTAACATAACCAGCATGCCAACGTTCATACTGATCAAGGAGGGTGAAGTTCTGGATACCATCATTGGGGCCAATATGGATAAGCTAAAGAAGTCCATGGATAAGCATATCGCCGAAAATGAAGTGGATGGTGCCGCTGCCGATGAGGAAGTCTCGATCGAAGAGGACCCGCAGCAGCAGCAGAACTCACCCATTTTATATGGTGGCCAAGGAGAAATAGAGAGCCAGGATCATGAAAAGAACTAAAGAGGAAAAGCCTGTACTACGCTGGGCACAGGATATCCCTATATATAAACAGGACACGTAACACATACATATATACACTTATATATATATACGAGAAATCCTGTGGCCCATTTCTGAAGATTATTTAACTTATAAAAACATAGCCTAGGCTCTGGTGATCAGTTAAAGAATTCCCTACCTTCTCAATTGCTTTGTGAAAGGGGAATTGGCCTTGTCGCACAGTCTCTTAAAATTAACAGAAAATGGTTTGTTCTTCACATGATTAGAGTTATATATCGATTTATTCTATAGATTAAACTTAGGAGCGTTTAAAAAAAGGACTAGCTCGCCGCCAAAAGCCCGGGAAAGCAGGAAATGTGTTTTGAGTTGTGCTTTAACAGCCAGACATCACCGGCAAGCGAGCGAGCCGATCCGATCCTTACACACTTTACCTGTGTATGTTCGGGAGCTCACTTTTTGGCAAAGGTGATCTTCATGGCGTGCGTCGGTGTTATTTTGAAGCCCTGCAGCGCCTCCTTGGCGGCATTACTTTGCAACTCGGTGGTGAACTCCACAAAGGCGATATCATGGCGATTCGGCACCAAGCGCACCTCCTTGAAGCCAGGGAACTGATTGAACAGCATGGAGAGCATCATCTCGTTGGTCTCCTCGGGCAGATTGGTGAGGAAGAGAATTTGGTTGGGCGGCTGTTCGGTCTGTGTATTCGGATTCGAGTTCTCAGTGCTGGTCGGCTTCTTTTTCTTGTCCCTGTAAAGAAATTGAAGTTAATTTGTATCAAAACATGAAGCCACTTCTATTTATGAACACTCACTTCTTATCCTCGGCGCCCACCGTTGGCTTCGGTGGCTTAATCTTCTTGGGGCGCTCCTTGAACGTACCCTTCAGCTTGGCCACCAGATCCGAATCGGACTTGGAGTAGGCAATGCGCATCGGTTTGTCGTAGAAGGGGAAGCCCTGCATCGTGCGCAATGCATTCGAGGCGCTGCCGATCTCCTTGAAGATGACGAACGCCTGGCCGCGCATTTTTAGGGTTTTTAGTGCCACAATGTCGAGGATTTGGCCGAATTGTGAGAAAATCGCATATAGCGACTTCTTCAGTTCCTCCTTCTTGATCTTCTCGTTCAGGTTGTTGATGTAGATGGTCTGGTTGGGGCGCACGTCCATTTTGCCGGCTTTTATTTTAATTAAATCGAGAAAAACAAGATTTTTTCAGCCGGATGAAAAAATAAGCAAAAAGAACTCGTATGGGCCTATCGATAACAAGACGCGTGAATTTTCTTACCTATCGAATGTATATGTTGCTAGAGGTGCGATTTGTCTATCGAATACTTTAGCTGTTTCCTTAATTTAATTAAATTTATAACATGTTAAAATCTTATACGGGCAATTTAAATATAAAGCATAATTTTGGTTATAAGAAATATCACAAATAAATATTTATTTTCATTTTTGATAAACTCAGCTGTATATCGATAACTAGACATACTTTTTCTGCTCATCCCTATTGGCAAATTGTATTGTTTGGGCCACGCGCCGGCTTTCTTGACTTTTATTGTTATTTATGAGGCTGTGCGATGCTACCGAACAACGCGAACGACAAGAAGGATCGCTATGCCAAGCTCTCCTTCCTCGGCGAGGGTCAGGTGAGTGTGGCAGCGCTTCAGATGAAGCCAATCCTAATGGCGGTTGTTTGTTGTCTGCAGTTTGCCATCGTCTACAAGGCGCGGGATATGGTGACCAGCCAGATTGTGGCCGTCAAGAAGATAAAGAAGGGATCACGCGAGGATGCCCGGGATGGGATTAATCGGACGGCACTGCGTGAGATCAAGATCCTCCAAGAGCTGCAGCACGAGAACATTATCGGACTGGTGGACGTCTTTGGCCAGATGTCGAATGTCTCGCTGGTGTTTGACTTCATGGACACCGACTTGGAGGTAATTATCAAGGACACAAAGATCATATTGACGCCGGGCAACATTAAGGCATATGCCATAATGACGCTGCGCGGACTAGAGTACCTGCATCAGAACTGGATTCTACATCGCGATCTCAAGCCCAACAATTTGCTGGTGAACAGTGATGGTATCCTCAAGATCGGTGATTTCGGTTTGGCCAAGTCCTTTGGCTCACCGAATCGCATCTACACGCATCACGTGGTCACACGCTGGTATCGGTCCCCCGAGCTCCTGTTTGGCGCCCGGCAATATGGCACCGGTGTGGATATGTGGGCCGTCGGCTGTATCCTGGCAGAGCTTATGTTGCGCGTACCCTTCATGCCGGGCGATTCCGATTTGGATCAACTGACACGCATCTTTGCCACGCTCGGTTCACCGCCAGAATCGGAGTGGCCACATGCGGCCAAGCTAAACGATTATCTAGTGTTTCGCAACTTTCCCGGCACGCCGCTGGAGAATATCTTTACCGCTGCCGGCAATGATTTGATCTATTTGATGCGTCGCCTGTTTAGCATGAATCCGCTGAAGCGTGTCTCATGTCGCGAGGCCCTGAGCCTACCATATTTCCACAACAAGCCAGCGCCCACAGTGGGTCCGAAGCTGCCAATGCCCTTGGCCATTCTGGCTGCCAAGGAGACGGCGACAACGAACGACGAGAAGCCAGTGCTCAAACGGAAGCTGGTAGAGACCACAGTCCGAGGCAATGGCCTGGCCCAGAAGAAGCGTTTGCAGTTCTAAGTTATAATCAAGAGAAGAGTCAGCAGAAATTTTGGTCACCTAACGGCAAGTGTTCCCCAAATTTCTATTTAGGGATTAAGGCATTTTTCGCATTGCAATTGCTTAAGAGATTACCTTAATTAATATCAGCTTCGTACTCAAACATTTGTAATTAAAATTGCTTGCATTTGAGAATCCATGCCAAGTACATCGATTCTCATAATGCTCGGAATCGATATGCATATTACTACTCCTTGCCTTGTTTTGTTACAAAAGAAGATCAAGAGAGACAGATAGAAAATAGGCTAAGTTTATAATTAAGACAAGTGGATGATTTATTAAAGATGTAAGCCAAAATGGAATACTAAAAGGAAATCATGTTTGCCGTCTGTGTGACTTTCCCTTTTCAATTGTGATTGTCAAAGTATTCGGTGAAAATTCATTCAGTTGTCGGGGCTTCTCCGTTACGGAGATGCTAGTCTATCGCTACCGGCACAGCGTCCAACATTGTTTTTCAAAAAAATTTAAAATACATTCGAAAATCTAAATTCCCAGCGCACACACATTCGGCAAATAGTTTTCTTTTATTTAATTAATTGCACTTTTTTGAAGTAGTTTTTCACAGAAATTGACCAAATCCAAGATTGTCATAATGAAAGGTAGCAGCACCTTGAAGCCGAAATCAGAGGACACACGTCGCCAGCGTGCTGAGCTTCGTCGTACCTATGGTAATCTGGTGTCCAATATAAATTTAAGCTTAATGCGTCAAAAGCAGAAAGCATTGGCGGAACAGGCGGAGAGCAACGGCAGTCAAGTGGGTCCTGCTCCTGCTGCTCCAGCTCGTGCAGCTCCTACTGCAGCTGCTTCTACTGCTGCTGCTCCTACTGCTGTAGAGCCGCATGAGGAATATTCATTGCGTCGGATTGCCTCGAGCTTTGCCCATGTTTGTGACCTGCAAGGTGGCTGCTGTGATGCCCTACCAGTGGAGGACAGTGAACAGGATACCAAAGAGGAGCGCACCGAGGTGCTAATACGTAGCCAAACTATGATATCGCCAATGCAGGCCTCGAGTGAAGCGCTTCCAACGGTTTCCAATAAATCAATGGAGTTGCCGCTGGCCACCAAAGAGGAAGCCGTAGAGAAATCCGAAAACAAATTGACAAAAGTAATGCCATACACCATGCAGCTGGAATCGAGGGCCACCGAACGCTGGATGCGTTTGGGCAGCACCGTATCCGCCCTGTTCCGAGCTCGTCGCACCATAGACGTTGTGGAATCACCCATGGCCCAGACCCGGCGGCTCCGGGAGCAGCGTGAGCTGCTCGAGGCTTTCACCCGACCATTTTTGTACGAGCCAACTAGTCGGGATTATCCGGAGATGGGAGCAAGGGGCACGACCAATGATCGATCATCCTAAGTTCCCAAGCAACAACATGGCTTTCCTCCCATTGAAATTCTCCCAGAAAATTGTCGAATCAAATTTAATTCATTGGACCTTGCTTCGTAGATGGCATACATCATCGTTGTTCTCGTTATCCTTCAGTGGGGGGAGTGTGTTGGGTGTGTGTGTGGTTGGTGTGGGCAATGGATGGGCAGCACAGCTGTGGTCCGCAAATCCGCGTCCGGACTAGTAACAGCGACACTTGTCGCTTGGGCACTCCGATTCGTAGTTGAGGCATTGATCCATGCAGTAAGTATCGGCACCCTCCTGTCCCTCCAGTTCGCCAATGGCCACGCATTCTTGTCTGGATATGAGATGGTAGGGAATTAGGTTTAGGTTTTTATTTAGGATCCCCATGTACTTACGGGCAGTGGCAGGCCTCCTCCGGACAGTTGGGCGGATAGCGGAGACAGTTGATCTCACACCAGTTGTCGATGCCGGGCAATGAACGGAAGGCTGGAGCACCAATGCATTTCTGGTCCCTGCAAGCACAAATATAAAAAGGGTAAGGTGTTGGGAGGAGAGATCTGGCTGCTGATCAAGCCCCTTGAAATTCTTGGTAAAATAAACAAAGTTATGATTAAAGCGAAGCACCTGTCATTAAGCAGAGATCACCTCGAGTTAAATCTTTAATTTAATGAAATATTACGTTGCTTGTTGCCACAAAAATAAATATAAATAATATATAATAAATAATCTTATTCATAATATATTTTTTATATTAAACACAAAAGGAAACGAACTTCAAGATGCCACAGTTTATATATTCTTGCAGTTTAACTATGAATTAAAGGCTCTCATCGAAAATCGAAAATAACTAAGCTTAAAATACTCGCTATTTTTAAATTCAATATTTATTGTTCTTATATTAGTCAAAAGTTTGCAACGCAGTGACTCCTTTATTAAGTAAACATATTCTTGATCAGCATCAACAGTTCTCTCGCTCTCCCTCTCTCTTACTCTCAGTCCCACTTCCACCCCCACTCGCACTGTGCATCTCTGGAGTTAACTCTGTATGTTGCTCTGCCTCTCTCAAGCGACAGCTCTTACTCTCTCGCTCTCACTTTCTGTGTTTGCTTGACTCGGGAAGTATAAATAGAGGCACTTGTGTCGCCGCGAGCTCAGTCTGTCCTAGGGGTACCTAGCGTTAACATCTATTGTGCAAGTGATTAGTGAGTGAAAAATATGAAGTGGCAGGTGGAATACAACTGGATAAGCAGGAAGTGATCTTCGATACTATGATTACGCTAGTAAATATCACCAAGATTATGACCCTGGAATGGATATAAGCAATATGGATAAAGGAAAAGCCACGTGTCCTCTACTGCGGTAAGTCTTAATTATGACAATTATAAAACCATTTCTTAATCGACTTTAACTATATATTTATGTGACAATTTTGTCGAAAAATCAAAGTTTAAAAATCTCATAACTCAGCCAAAAGTGCATTAATTTTAATTCGAAAAGCGGTCCTATGTTATTATTTTTTATCTTAATAAATCTGCATACTAAATTAAAAATGCAAAATTTTGCCAATTTTAAAATTTTTTAACGATCTTACCCCTTATAAAATTTTGAAAAATATTTTAAAAATTTAATTTTTATCAGAGATGGCTAGATCGACCCGCCTGCTAATGCTGATCAAGAATATATATGATTTATATGGTCGGAAATGACTTCTTCACTTAGTTTAAAGCTTCTGACTAAAATGATAATAACATTTTTTAAATGATTTTAACTATATATTTATGTGACAATTTTGTCGAAAAATCAAAGTTTAAAAAACACATAACTAAGCCAAAAAATGGATCATAACTAAGCTAATAAAATACTCGCTATTTTTTTAACCAATATTTATTGTTCTTATTTTAGTCAAAAGTTTGCAACCCAGTGACTTCTTTATTAAGTAAACATATTCTTGATCAGCATCAACAGTTCTCTCGCTCTCCCTCTCTCTTACTCTCAGTCCCACTTCCACCCCCACTCGCACTGTGCATCTCTGGAGTTAACTCTGCATGTCGCTCTGCCTTTCTCTAGCGACGGCTCTTACTCTCTCGCTCTCACTTTCTGTGTTTGCTTGACTCGGGAAGTATAAATAGAGGCACTTGTGTCGCCGCGAGCTCAGTCTGTCCTAGGGGTACCTAGCGTTAACATCTATTGTGCAAGTGATTAGTGAGTGAAAAATATGAAGTGGCAGGTGGAATACAACTGGATAAGCAGGAAGTGATCTTCGATACTATGATTACGCTAGTAAATATCACCAAGATTATGACCCTGGAATGGATATAAGCAATATGGATAAAGGAAAAGCCACGTGTCCTCTACTGCGGTAAGTCTTAATTATGACAATTATAAAACCATTTCTTAATCGATTTTAACTATATATTTATGTGACAATTTTGTCGAAAAATCAAAGTTTAAAAATCTCATAACTCAGCCAAAAGTGCATTAATTTTAATTCGAAAAGCGGTCCTATGTTAGTATTTTTTATCTTAATAAATCTGCATACTCAATTAAAAATGCAAAATTTTGCCAATTTTTAAAATTTTTTAACGATGTTACCCCTTATAAAATTTTGAAAAATATTTTAAAAATTTAATTTTTATCAGAGATGGCTAGATCGACCCGCCTGCTAATGCTGATCAAGAATATATATGATTTATATGGTCGGAAATGACTTCTTCACCTAGTTTAAAGCTTCTGACTAAAATGATAATAACATTTTTTAATTGATTTTAACTATATATTTATGTGACAATTTTGTCGAAAAATCAAAGTTTAAAAAACACATAACTAAGCCAAAAAATCGATCAAACCTAAGCTAAAAAATACTCGCTATTTTTTTAATCAATATTTATTGTTCTTATTTTCGTCAAAAGTTTGCAACTCAGTGACTCCTTTATTAAGTAAACATATTCTTGATCAGCATCAACAGTTCTCTCGCTCTCCCTCTCTCTTACTCTCAGTCCCACTTCCACCCCCACTCGCACTGTGCATCTCTGGAGTTCACTCTGCATGTCGCTCTGCCTTTCTCTAGCGACGGCTCTTACTCTCTCGCTCTCACTTTCTGTGTTTGCTTGACTCGGGAAGTATAAATAGAGGCACTTGTGTCGCCGCGAGCTCAGTCTGTCCTAGGGTACCTAGCGTTAACATCTATTGTGCGAGTGATTAGTGAGTGAAAAATATGAAGTGGCAGGTGGAATACAACTGGATAAGCAGGAAGTGATCTTCGATACTATGATTACGCTAGTAAATATCACCAAGATTATGACCCTGGAATGGATATAAGCAATATGGATAAGGGAAAAGCCACGTGTCCTCTACTGCGGTAAGTCTTAATTATGACAATTATAAAACCATTTCTTAATCGACTTTAACTATATATTTATGTGACAATTTTGTCGAAAAATCAAAGTTTAAAAATCTCATAACTCAGCCAAAAGTGCATTAATTTTAATTCGAAAAGCGGTCCTATGTTAGTATTTTTTATCTTAATAAATCTGCATACTCAATTAAAAATGCAAAATTTTGCCAATTTTTAAAATTTTTTAACGATGTTACCCCTTATAAAATTTTGAAAAATATTTTAAAAATTTAATTTTTATCAGAGATGGCTAGATCGACCCGCCTGCTAATGCTGATCAAGAATATATATGATTTATATGGTCGGAAATGACTTCTTCACTTAGTTTAAAGCTTCTGACTAAAATGATAATAACATTTTTTAATTGATTTTAACTATATATTTATGTGACAATTTTGTCGAAAAATCAAAGTTTAAAAACACATAACTAAGCCAAAAAATGGATCATAACTAAGCTAATAAAATACTAGCTATTTTTTTAACCAATATTTATTGTTCTTATTTTAGTCAAAAGTTTGCAACCCAGTGACTTCTTTATTAAGTAAACATATTCTTGATCAGCATCAACAGTTCTCTCGCTCTCCCTCTCTCTTACTCTCAGTCCCACTTCCACCCCACTCGCACTGTGCATCTCTGGAGTTAACTCTGCATGTCGCTCTGCCTTTCTCTAGCGACGGCTCTTACTCTCTCGCTCTCACTTTCTGTGTTTGCTTGACTCGGGAAGTATAAATAGAGGCACTTGTGTCGCCGCGAGCTCAGTCTGTCCTAGGGGTACCTAGCGTTAACATCTATTGTGCAAGTGATTAGTGAGTGAAAAATATGAAGTGGCAGGTGGAATACAACTGGATAAGCAGGAAGTGATCTTCGATACAATGATTACGCTAGTAAATATCACCAAGATTATGACCCTGGAATGGATATAAGCAATATGGATAAGGGAAAAGCCACGTGTCCTCTACTGCGGTAAGTCTTAATTATGACAATTATAAAACCATTTCTTAATCGATTTTAACTATATATTTATGTGACAATTTTGTCGAAAAATCAAAGTTTAAAAATCTCATAACTCAGCCAAAAGTGCATTAATTTTAATTCGGAAAGCGGTCCTATGTTAGTATTTTTTATCTTAATAAATCTGCATACTGAATTAAAAATGCAAAATTTTGCCAATTTTTAAAAATTTTTAACGATGTTACCCCTTATAAAATTTCGAAAAATATTTTAAAAATTTAATTTATATCAGAGATGACTAGATCGACTAGATCACTTAATTTTATGTTTCTGACTGAATTTATCAATAAAATCTAAACACAAGTTAGCCCTGAAATGATTTTCAACATAAATTACTGTCAATAAACATCAGATTTGTCTCGGTGTTAGTCTGTTTCAGAACTCTATTTTAAAAATTTCTAGTGACTCTATTTTCTATTTTCAATTTCTTATTTTTTCGAAACAAGGAGAACGCTAGACTGGTAGGATGCAGACATTTGGGGACGATCTTCGCCGGGCCGAGAGACGTCGTTATTTGGCAGAACGCCGGATTAGTTACGGCAATGCTGTTTCTGAATTCAATATGCGGAGCCAGCCACCGGTTGTCGAGGACCACGGTTTCCCCGTCCAGCCCCAGGTCTCCAACCATGGCTGCTCCGCCCAACGGGCTCGCGTATCCTTGAGCAGTCCCTACAGCTGGCAGCTGGGCAGATCCCTTCACGCTATCAAATCTCCAACGCGGAGGAACCTTTCACCAATACCCGAAGAGATGTCATGGACTTGTCCCAGCTCAACGGAGCACCATGTCAGGTGGTGCACTGAACCCGAATATGAGATGCTACAGCAAGAGGCATTGGAAAAGGCAAAGATGGCATCCTGCCAAGAGGACGATGATAAATTTTATTAAAAGTGATTAAATTTAACGATTTGGTTAACCTGTTAAAACGATGGCTTACTTTTTTGAATAGGAACCGGAATGGTTTCTTATAGTTTAATAGATCTTGTCTTTGAGTTTTATCTTGTATATTTTTTTTAACCTCTATGGTTGTGTTTCATAGAGTCTTTTAAAAGTATTGTTTTTGAACCTCCAGGTTCTGTTTTACTAAACAAATGAAATTGATGTAAATTTAGCGTAAAGATTGAAAGTCTCGCTTATTTTCCAAATCTTAGAAGCATAAGTAGGCGTAAAGTTTTTTCTTTGATATACATATTTAAACTATTTATTATTTTTGTAAGATTTTTAATCCGAATTTTCACCATCATAGTAACCTTTGTATTGATCGTTCCACCACAAACATTATGTAAGTATATTTGTCATTCATTTAATCAGACCTTCAAATATAGGAACTCAAGGCATTCGCTCTCTTAACTCACATTGTTTTATAATATTTTAGTTAAACCATTAAACAAACGGTGATATTAACAAAACAAGTAATAAACGCAATAAGCGTCACACAAGCGTCACAAATGTGGCTACAGATTCAGAATCATGAATCAGAAACGCTATAATCAAATGCGTTCCATAAATCGCAACCAGGATCATGGCCTGCAGCAAATCCTGCAACCTTCAGCTGCGGGTCAGTTGCCACCAGGACAAAGTGGCAATCAAGGACAACAGACTGTGCGCCGCAAGATGACCTACACACGAACAGAGTTACTATGCCGAGGATTGCCCACAAGTGAGTTTATGTATTTCTCATTTCTTGAACATTTTTAAAGGTTCTTAAGGATTCTTAAGGATGCTTAAAGGTTCTTAAAGATTCTTAATGATTTTTAAAAACTTAAAAGATTCAAAGATTTTAGGGTTCTTAAAGATTGTTAAAGGATCTTAAAGGTTCTTAAAGATTCTTAAAGATTCATAAAGATTCTTTAAAGTTTTATCATTATCATTAAAATCTTTATATCTTGTAGTTTCGAATTTTTATCATTATAAAACTTTAAGGAATCTTTTGGAATCTTTAGGAATCTTTAGGAACCTTTAAAAATCTTTAAGAATCTTTAATCTTTAAAAAGTTTAAACTTCGGCATGCCGCAGTTCCACCAGCTTCCTTGTCACCCTACTAATTTCTGTGAATCTTCTTTTATACTCCTTTTCTTTCTCCCAGCTCAAGCTCCTCGTCGCTCGCCGCGTAATCGTGGTACTTATGCCCAAGGAAACACTATCCAAACATCGATTGCACCACACACACCACTCTCAGCTGGTCATGGCAATGCCACATCCACAAAACAACGCAGCAATTTGCCACGTGTAACCAGACTACAATCACCGAATCGAAATCTCACTCGAATGCGTACGGAAATGGATATCAAACCGGAGCCTCTACAGATGAAGAAGACACCTCGTAACCCCAACACGCCACAAGTAAGTCACTGTAGTATTCCTATGCCAATTCCCGGTGGAGGACATCGGAACATTCGTGTTGAGGGTAGTGGTATACCTATATTGGATAGATCCCGGAATCGGGAATGTAATCTTAAGCAGCGAGAATGCGATAATAAGGAGCAAATAGAAGTACTTGAATTTAATGATACAAGTAGTCGAAGCAGCAGTCCTGTGAATCTATCGAGGATGGGTAAACCCATATCACTGCCAGGTGATCCACAAAACAAGAGCTTTGTGTATCTATGCAAGCCGGTGAAGAAGGTCAAGGAGTTGCTTACAGCACGTCAGTTGCGTCACAGTTGTGAGAATCTGGAAATGATTGGATTTGAAAAGTCATTACCTCTTGAAAAGACCAATTCCGAGGAGATGCTGCACAGCAAGGCCCTGGAACAGGGTTTGGAACTATCATCAATTACGGAGATGAGTATCACTCCGACCAGTTCGATAGGCAGTCGTCTTCAGTTGCCCAAGCAGAATCAGCAGAAACATCTCGAGGATAATAATCAGGAGCGATTGATTTATCAGCTAAATGAGTTGCGACAGCGTGAGCATTACATATGCCAAAAGGAGCAGCGGGAAAAGGAAATGAATATGGTTTGTCAGAATTTACCAACTTTGCAGCATGAAATCCGTTTGCTGCAGGAACTCAATGTGAAGCTGGAGAGTACACTCCGAGGATCGAATGCGGTGAATCAGAGAAGCAACAATATGTTCTCCTATGACATAGATCGTCAATCCTCGACTACCTACTATACACCACGTTGTGGTCCCATGCTGTTTGTGGAGATGCCTCTACTCCAGGTGGGATTTCTACATATAGAGCAAAGGGCCAAGATCATTCAAAGGGTTAATGTTGTGGCATTTGCACATAGTTTGGCTGTGGTCCGGGAATTTCGCATTGAGACCAAGACCCTCAATGAGCTGAAGGCCAGCGATGAAACGCAATGTTTCTATTTGCCACAACCCAAAGTGGATCATCAGCAATCTCTAATGAATATTAATTCACCGGAGTGTAATCCTCCCCCATTGCATTGTACCAATTTACGAATGATTCGCGAGAATCCTAATGTTTTAATACAACAGCTACGTCGAGGAAGTGGTTCATTTAATCTCCTTGATCATGACATATTCATGTTTATCAATAGTTTGGCCAAGAAAACGGAAGAGGATTTCCTCTATTCCAGCCTGGCAGTAGGTATACCCTCCAAGGAGAACTCAGGGTATCATCATCAGCAGCTTCAGACACTTCAAAATCAATTGCAGGATGTGCCAAGTGGATCCAAGCAGGTGAATAGCACAACACAAACCGAGGAGGAGGAGGCTCCGGTACAAGATCAGACACCACCTCTTGATCCTCCTCAAACAAATTTAATTCCAACACAAACAAAACCGAAAAAGAAGTTGAAAAAGCCAAAGCAACAAGTGGTAACTACTAGAAATTCAAGACTTATCAAAAGATCACCCATTCAGAGCAATGTGGAGCCCAAGGTACGATTGAAGCTATTCAAGACCGTGCTGGTGGGACTCGTACAAGTTGCTGTATTTCTAGTCCTCATCATGGCCTTTATGTATCCGGATGCAAGTTGTTCAATGACCACAAAAAGCCAACAGATCAAATAAAACCAAATACAAAAAAAAAAAACAAAAACCAAAGAGGCGCTAAAAAATCAAAATTTATACGAAAATGCAAGGATTATCGGCTGGGATCGGATCTGCAATTTCCTATTTCCAATTTCCTATCTACATATATCCAGGTGAAAGTCCGATCCCCATGCCTCGCTCTAAGAATATATCAAAAATAATATATCGCCAATTTGGTTTGAGTTAACACTTGGTTTTTTCAAAGCATTCGTTTCTTCGTTTAATTCAAATAAAATTTCATGTGTTATATATGAAGCATTCAAGGCACTTTTCTTTATTAAATGGGTTTCAAATTTATTTAAGCTTTAATTATTTATATACAGCAGAGTGTGTGTGTGTGTTCCCAAAACCTTTAAATGCAGTGTTGCCAGGTTAGATATTGCCGCAAAGTGTTACCACAAATTTTGGCTTAAATTAGGCTCCATATTAAATGTTTGTGTTTTCCTTTTTTTCTACTTTTAAATTTAATTTATTTTATAAAATAAAAATGTATATAATTTGGCAACACTGTTTTAATTTTAATGTCTTAAATGTACACAGATTTTTTACCTTTACCATTTTTCTCTTATTATGAACTCTGAACTCCAGCTGGATGATTTATATGTGTCTGATTTGTCGGTCTAAAAAGCATTTGCGAAGCGGAAGGAGAGGCGACGTATATATATCGGGGTAAGCAAATATATATAGATATATATATATATATATATCAGTTAAGCGGATTTAGCGTGGTTAAGCGGGTTTAAGCCCTTTGCCTCGTTTGCGCGCATGCCGCGTGGCATTGCTAGAAACCAAAGCAAGATGATATTACTCTCCAGTTAAAAATAAAATATATTTTTTGTAAGGTATGAACTATTGATAAATTAGGAAAGGATAGAGGACTATGTCCAGGTAGAAAAAGTAAAAAAAAAAACTAAAAACCATTAAATTAATTGAGGAAAAGATTCATTTTAGGCAGAAAAAGATGGTTAGAAATCGGGTAAAATAGTGGAGACGAATGTTGAAAATGTACGAAAGAGATAGAAATATTAGAGAATATATTTAAAAATGTCAGAAAATGCTTTGAAAATGTAGAAAATAGGGGAAATACAACAAGTTGCAAGGTAGATTCAAAAATAAGATAGTTTGTATAGTTTGAAAAATTAATACAGTCTTTAAAATCAATAATATTTTTAAACAAATAGTAAAAAAAGGAAAAATAAATAGATACATAAACCAAATAACAAGACATAACTCCAAGCTTTTCTATTAAAAAATAAATAAAAAGTAACATGCGAAAGTTACAGTAAAGCTAATTAAAAGTAAAGTGAAAAGTAAAGTAAATAATATGAAAGAAGATAGATTACCAAAATATAGTATTGATTACTTCAAAAAATACTAATGGTTAAATAAAAATAAAAAACGACTTATAATGATAATTTAAGTACAGAAGCAAAGCTCATTTTCAAATAATAATAAATAAATAAGTAAATAACAAATAATAAAATATTACGGGCAATCATGTAAAGAAAAGACAAAGCTTTATCCCAAATAATTTTTATATATATCTACATAAATTATTAAAAATTCCCCATACTCACCGCACAATAAGGGGAAAGATATTGTTGTCTTCCGGCGCCCGATAATCCCGATAGTAAAGAAGATATGGCGACTTGTTGTTCACGAAAATCGGTGGAACACCACCGCCGGTGTTTGAGATAATAGCCACATCCGCACAATTTCGGAAGGTTTCTACAAATCAAATTATTAGGAGTTAAAATTTATTAATAAATAAATAAAAAATGTATATTTTAAAATGACAATATTTTCGACAAAATCAAAATTTAAAAATCTCATAACTAAGCCAAAAAGGCATTAATTTTAATCCGAAAAACATTTCTATGCTAGTTTTTATTAGTTTAATAAATCTGCATACTCAGTTTAAAATGTAATAGAAATTAAATTTTTTTAATTTTTTGAAAATTTTTAAAGGGGTTTCCCTTTCCTTTTTTCTATGAAAAATTGAAATTTTATTGAAAATTTTTTATGTCTGCCGGATATAGCTAGAAAGATTCGCCTGTTGATGCTGATCAAGAATGTATATGATTTATAGGGTCGGAAATGATTCCTTCACTTTCTTTTAAGCTTCTGACTAAAATTATAATACCAGTGTTTTAATCGATTATAGTTAAAATAATGTGACATTTTTGTCGAAAAAAAAAAAATTCATAACTTGGCCAAAAATGCATTAATTTTAAATCGGAAAGCGCTCCTTTGCTAGTTTTATTAGCTTAATAAATCTGTGTACTCAATTAAATTTCTTAAAAAATTCAATTTTTTTTTTTTTTAATTTTAAATATTGTAACGATGAAAAATTTTAAATTTTTTTTTGAAGAAAATTTTTTTTTGCCCGAGATATCTAGATAGATTCGCCTGTTGATGCTGATCAAGAATATATATAATTTATAGGGTCGGAAATGATTCCTTCACTTAATTTCAAGCTTTTGACTAAAATTATAATACCTTTGCAAGGGTATAAAAATAATATAAAAATTAAATACTATTTAATGAAATATTAAGTTTTTAAAATTTTAAAAAATATTACCTCTATATTTATCTTGAAATTGAAAATGTGTTCTATAAAGTTGATATCATAACACTATTTTTTGCTGTTTAAATGTTTTACTAATATTTTGAAATGTTTAAAATTTCCTTAAGGTTTTCCTAATATTTCGCTGCTTAACATTTCTATAAATGTTATACTTATATTTTTAGATTTTTAAAATTTCAACATGTACAGAAATATATATATATTTTTAAATAAATTTTTCCCCTCTATATATGTAGGATTCCCATCTCACTCTCACCTGCCTTGCCGCAACCGACGGCCTCGGTGCCATTGGCACAGGTACCCCACATATTGGCCGTGTAATATGTCCACTGAAGGACACACTGTGTGCAGGTGACATAGGGCGGCAGCCGGACTCTATACCTGAAGATATCCTTCTTCTTGGCATCACGTGGAATAAGATATCGATGCTCCCGACTGCCAGATATGGGCAGAGGATATCGGTCGAAGCACTCCTGAGTGGCCTCATGCCTGGGATTATTATTCGGACACAAGAACATCTCAAAGCGACCATAATGATTGGCGGTAAGTTCCACCTCCACTTCGATCTCCTGTCCGGCAGTATAATATCTAGAGATAATACCCTTGGCATACTCTCCACCCGCCTCATGGGGACGCGGTGACTTGACATGGTAGGCATCTCCGCAGACACCACAACGTCCACTGTTCTTCTCCCATTGAACCGCATAGCCACCGCAAAAGAGCTCATTGTCATTGTAGTTGACGGGATTGGGGTAACCGAAACGCCACATGGCATTCCTGGCCGGTGGATCCATCAGTCGTCCATGGCCCAAAACTTGGGTAACCATGGCTAGCAGCTGGAAAAGATGAGGGATTATTTCAGTTCAGAGATGAGGAGCATCCTCCAGTTTCTTAGACTCACCAGCACACCCACTGGCAGGGCACCCATCCTTGTCGCCTTGTCCATGGTCATCTGTCGCATCCTTGTCCACATGCACCTCCAGATGCCTAGAATGCGAAAACCCACAGGGAATATGATACAGAGTATATAGATTGGGGGAGGGGGACTTAAAATCGAAACGTGTTTTTGGCCTTAACAGTGGTGGTAACACAAATTAAAATTATATTAAATAAATAATAAATAATATCATTTTTATATTTATAAATACATAAGCATAACCTCTCTCTAGTTAACTTCTGGCAGAGATATATTTCAGGGTGTTTTTTCTATAAGAAAAAATCCTATAAGATATATGGACAAAACATCTTCTCAATATCATATTGGTATATAAACATTAAATGCTATTTATTTTGTTTATTATACCACAATATTAATATTTTAATAATAAATTTAATATATTTAAATTGATACATACTATATATTATCAATTTTTCTATAAAAATAATATTTTAAAGTTTAATACGTTACATTCAGATTTATTAAAGTTCTATATATCAAAGCTTAGGATATTTTTCGGATGATATACCAAAGAAAATATTGTGCTCAACATCATTTTATTATTCTTATTTATTAATAATTGAATTTAAATAAATATTTGAGGCTCATATTAAAATATCTATATCTATATATCAAAGTTTAGAATATTTTTCATATGATATACCAAAGAAAATATTGTGTTCAGCATCAAATCAATATTTTAATTTATTAATAATTAAATTTATACAAATATTTAAGGCTCATATTAAAATATCAATATCTATATATCAAAGTTTAGGATGTTTTTCATATGATATACCAAAGAAAATATTGTGCCCAAAATCATATCATTTTTTAACTTATTAATAACTGAATTTAAATAATATTTGAGGCTCATATTAAAATATCTATATCTATATATCAAAGTTTAGGATATTTTCATATGATATACCAAAGAAAATATTGTGCTCAACATCAAATCAATATTTTAACTTATTATTAATAATTGAAGTTAAAAAATATTTGAGGATCATATTTATTTATTTATTTTATTTATTTTTTTTTTATAATAATAATATATAATTTTTTAACTTAATAAACCACTGTGCTTGGTCACTAGCACTTCATTAATCGCAGCTTGCAAGGACGTCCACCTGATCCGCTTTTCGACTTTATGGCCCTTGGTGATGCCCGTGCCCTTTATAAATAAATTCATGCCCACACACAGCCACACACACGCACAGTACAAAAAAAGAAAAAAATCCCAGACAGACAGTACATTTGCCACTTTTTGTTTAAATTACATTTTTTTTGCCCTGCTCTGGTTCCCTTTTCGAGACTTATCTTTTATGTTAAACATGTTTGCTTGCCTGTCAAGGCGTAAAAAAAAAATTGTCAATGGTGCCTTCTTCATATATCTTTTTTTATATATTTTTTTAAGGCTTTTCAATTTCGAACATTATTTTTAATGGCATCATCTAGTTTACGCACATTCCCTGGGGGCGAGGGGATTGGTAATGGGAATGGGTTGCATAAACGGGTTTACTTGAACCCGGGACCAGGTCCGGCCCCCAACAAAATACAAAATTAAAAAACAAAACAAAAAAAAACAAAAGCTTTGGGCGTGAGCCAGGCAAAAGATTTCTGGGCTAAAAATATATTTATGCAGATGCTCGAGTTCGATTCTCATTAAAAGAAGCCAATGTTCACTGAAGAAAATAAGCAATAAATTCAGCAAAGAACGATTTTTATAAATAATATATGTATAAATATTTTTAGGGCATATGTGTTTAAGAAGAATATATATTTTTTTAATTTCAAGAGGAGTAATCTCAGTTTATAATCATTTTTAGAAGCTTTGTTAAGCGTGAATATAAATATTTTAAAGGCATTTTTGTTTATGTAAAATATTTAGAAAATATTTACGTTTATTAAGAAGAGACATCTAAGTAAATAGTACATTTTTGACGCTTTATTTTAATTTATATTTTTAATATTTAAACTTAAACTTAAAGAAGTGAATCGAAAGAACTTTTCTGAATTAAGTTCTAGCTTAAGAAGCCAAAATATGGTTTTAAACAAATAATATTCTTTATAACAAACCCTGCTTTCAAAGTTTTTAAATTCCATTTTTTTTAATTTCCTATTACTTCTCTCCTTTTCTTCCAGTGTACCTTTATTTATTCGCATTTTGATTACAGCAGCATTCTAGCCGCAAGTCTCCCTATTTCCAGCCATCTTTCGATATGGCTTAAACGCAAATTGATTTGTCCATCAGTCTGAAGACCAAAACAAGAAAAAAGCACAAGCCATCGAATCTGTATGGAATCCCAATAAAATCAGAAATATTTTAGTAAATATTTTCTTTTTGTTTTTGTTGTTTTTAGCCTTTGGCCATTGACACTGGCAGGCAGTAAATTTTGTTATTTAATGTGAGTAGCAATTATAATTTTACAGGGTGTTTTTTTTTTTTTTTGGCATAAGGAAACTGCTCGTAAATGTGATTTTATAACTCATAAATTTATTATTAATAATATCATTTGCATTTGTCAACAAAATGTAAACAATGTACGGCAAAAAATCAACAGAACTTGAAAATTAAAGTCTTGGAAAAAGTGAAGAAAGATTAATTGGGGAATATTTTCTTTGGTTTCTTAAGTTTTATATTATTTTATACTATTTTATATCTTTTTTGTATTTCTTTACCGTATTTTATGTACATTAAATCGATATAAAAATATGCTTATTTTTAGGGCTAAATCAAAGTTGATCAAATCTTTTAACTAAGCCAAAAATGCATTGAATTTAATTCGGAAAGCTGTTCTTTGCTAGTTTTTAACAGGTTAATAAATCTACATACTCAATTTAAAGTTAAAAAAATTCAATTTTTTTATAAATTTTTCAAAATTTTAACGATGTAACCCCTTAAAAATTTTTGAAAATTTTTGAAAAAAAATTTTTCTGTCTAAGATGGCTAGATTGATTCCCCTGTAGATGCTGATCAGGAATATATATGGGTTATGGGGTCGGAAATGACTCCTTCATTGCATTTCAAGCTTCTAAGGGAAGGTTAAATACCCTTTTGTATCAAATTTCCTACATAATTCCTGAGATCAAGGGTTAAGTTTATAGACAACCTTTTTAATTACCACCCCTTTTTGTTTGCCTTTTCCACCGCCGATGTAATTAGGCATAAGTGCTTGATTTTTAATTGGAGCGATGAAATCAATAAGTCTGCCAGGTGGAAAATGCTTGGCGTTAAATGAGCGTACGACATGACGACACACACAAAAACAGGAAAAAGGAAAAAAGAAAAACCCAAAGAAAAAAAGACGATTAATCGTCTGCCAAATATGCCAGAGATATATATATATGTATATAGCCAAAGGATGTAAGTAAAGAGCCGTCCTTGCCAATAAACGTTTATCATAATTGTCAGGCTCGAACGCTGATGGCCAAATTAAAATGTACGAAATTTTCAGGTTCAGGTTCCCCTTGTCTGGGGCGACGATAAATTGAAAACCATGGCAGAAATTAAGTTGTAAATTAAGCAAATTGCATGGCACCAAAAAATACAATTAAAAAAAAAGAAGAAGGACCACCTCTGGTTTATTTACATTACGCAATCGTATGCAGTTCAGGTAGAAGAAAAATTAAATACAGGAATGAAGTGTAAATACAATGGAGTGAAGTATATACTATATACTATATGTAATAAATATATTTAATATATATTTTATGTATATTTTATATATAATTTATATGTATATATATCACCTTATGTAATTAAAGAGGGGATTGACAGAGGCTTGTGTCAAAAGTCAGTTAAAGAAAAGGAAACTCGTCTTAAAAACTGTTTAAAATGAAGGGTCATCTCAGGCTTGATCTTTGTTAAATTTATATATATATATCTTACTTGATTTAAGTTCAAGTTGTAATCAAGTTGTCAGTTGGTCAGCAACTTCATTAATCTTTAACATCTGTCAGGAGGCAGTGAAAGGGTCTTTTTTTATATGTCCTGGGACTTGATTAAGCTATGTTTCTTTTATACAAGAAAATTAATTCAGTAAACTAGGTAAATAAATAAAATACTAAATAAATAAAAAACTAGAAAATATTTAATAACATTAAATAAACCTTTTTAATGCCACTTCAAAAACATAAAATAAACATTAATAATTCCCTCACATAATCAGCCAACACAATCATATTTAATTATTTCTTCCGTGATGAGTACTTTGATTTTTAAAAAGGTGCCCAACACTTATATGGCGCCAGACATGGCTTAGGGAATAAAAAATAGTTAAAAAATACTCACAAAAAAAATGAGTAATCAATTTATAAAAAAACCCACACACACACATACTCCGAAAAGAAGAGCTCTCGATGAATGGGCGACATATATAAATCAGAAATAATGATATTGATACGCATAATAATAATCACCATCATCATCAGCAGCGACATTATAATAATTTTTGTACAAGTCACGATTCTGTAAGCACGGCATGACAAATCGATCTTTATTTACCTTTATTTTTTTTGTCAGTTTTGTTCTTTGTCTTATTTATTTATTTATTATTTAAAGCCCCTTTTGGAGGTCGCCACGAAAATATTCAACTGATTTGCAAATTGGCACTGTCGAATGTAAATCGGTTTAAATATTTCTATTTCGATACCCGGACTCTTCCATTTCTCCATCTTAATTGCTTTCAAAAAACAAAAAAAAATAACATCACTAATTGGTTTGTTGGGGGAGCGGTGAGCTTTTTGGAATTGGCACAAAGAAATAAATCTAATTTGTATACGAAATTTGTTTACATCGAGGGTTTTGTTCTGCTAATGGCCAATAGTCGATAGTCTGATAGCTCCACTTTGCAAGTTTAC